TGCCAGGTGAAACCAGCAACTTTTCTCAACAAGTGAATAGTCTGGCTTTTTGCCAGGCTTTTTCATGCTCATTTGTTACATCCACCTCCCCACCCACATCCCTCACCATAGCTACTGTGACAAAGTTCCTCCTCTATCTTGGTGGGTTCTGCGCTTATTGGCGGATTTTCTTGCCTCAGAGATTCACCATGTGGGTTGGGGAACACCCCAGAGACCTTCCACTCTGAAAGAACCCATAGTCCAGGTCAATTGGGAGGTTTGGGGGGGAACCCGGGCCCGCCCTCTACTCCGGGTTCCAGCCCAGGGCCCTGTGGACTGCAGCTGTCTATAGTGCCTCCTGTAACAGCTGCATGACAGCTACAACTCCCTGGGCTACTTCCCCATGGCCTCCTCCAAACATCTTCCTTATTCTCACCACAGGACCTTCCTCCTGGTGTCTGATAACGCTTGTGCTCCTCAGTCCTCCAACAGCACACCCTCTCACTCTCAGCTCCTTGCGCCTCTTGCTCCCAGCTCCTCACACTCACACGACAAACTGAAGTGAGCTCCTTTTAAAACCCAGGTGCCCTGATTAGCCTGCCTTAATTGATTCTAGCAGCTTCTTCTTAATTGGCTCCAGGTGTCCTAATTAGCCTGCCTGCCTTATCTGGTTCTAGCAGGTTCCTGATTACTCTAGTGCAGCCCCTGCTCTGGTCACTCAGGGAACAGAAAACTACTTATCCAATGACCAGTATATTTGCCCTCTACCAGACTCCTGTACCCCACTGGTCTGGGTCTGTCACATATCCCTCCCCCCCTGCTCAATGCCAAGGGGTTGGGCAGCTTGGGACGCCAGACAGTGCACACGTGACAAGCCATCGGCGTTGCCATGACGGCTCCCTGCTCTGTGTTGCACACGGAACTGGAAAGGTTGGAGGGATAAGAACCATCTGGTCACCCTTGTGTTCTTCTCCTTGTTCCGCTGCGTCCATTGAAGAGGGGCATGGTCGGTCACAAGGACAAATCTGCGCCCGAGCAGGTAGTAGCGCAATGTTTCCATGGCCCATTTTACAGCGAGGCATTCTCTCTCCACCACTGCATATTTTTGTTCCCTTGGAAGGAGTTTCCGACTGAGGTATAGAATTGGGTGTTCCTCCTCCCCGACCATCTGTGATAGAACGGCCCCCAACCCTACTTCCGATGCATCCGTCTGCAGGATAAACTCCTTGGTGAAATCAGGGGCTATCAGTACGGGGTTATTGCAGAGGGCAGTCCGTAGGTCTGTGAATGCTTCCTCTGCTGCATCAGATCATCTCACCAGATCAGGTCCACGGGCTTTCCCTAGGTCTGTCAGGGGGCTTGCCCTTGTGGCAAAGTGGGGGATAAATCGTCGGTAATACCCCACCACACCTAGGAACGCCTGGACTTGTTTCTTGCGACTTGGTCGGGGCCAATTTTGGATGGCCTCTAACTTGTTCACTTGGGGTTTTACCAGACCTTTTCCCACAATGTAGCCAAGATATCTGGCCTCTGTAAACCCTACAGCGCACTTCGCAGGGTTTGCTGTAAGGCCAGCTCGCCTGAAGGTATCGAGGACTGCCTCCACCTTCTCCAGGTGGGTTTCCCAGTCTGGGGTATGAATGACCACATCGTCCAAGTAGGCAGCAGCATAACTGTTATGCGGGCATAATAGCTTGTCCATGAGGCGCTGGAAGGTAGCTGGGGCCCCATGTAGTCCAAAAGGGAGGACAGTATATTGAAAAAGACCCTCTGATGTAGAGAACGCACTCTTTTCCTTTGCGTCTTCCGCAAGGGGAATCTGCCAGTACCCCTTTGTCAAGTCTAGGGTAGTCAAGTACCGGGCATTACCCAGACGGTCCACTAGCTCATCTATGCGAGGTATGGGGTACGCGTCGAACTGGGATACTTCGTTTAGTCGCCGGAAGTCATTGCAAAATCTTGTGGTGCCATCAGGTTTGGGCACCAGCACGATTGGGCTGGACCACTGACTGTGGGATTCTTCGATAATCCGCAACTCCAGCATTTTTTTTACTTCTGCTTTTATTTCCTCCCTTTTTGCCGCTGGCACCCGATAGGGCCTCATTGTTACTCTGGCCCCAGGGTTCGGGACGATGTGGTGATATGTCTCGGTTGTTCGACCCGGTTTTGTCGAGAACACATCTTGGTTCCGGAAGATCATCTCAGACACCTCATTCTTCTGGTCTGGTGTTAAATCGGGAGACACTCTCACCTGTTTGGAAGGCTTGTTTTCCTGGGTTAGGTCTTTTTGGACAGTTGTGCATGCCTCTTGTGCATGCCAGGGTTTCAGAAGGTTAACGTGATAAATCTGTTCTTGTTTTCTGCGTCCTGGCTGCCGCACCTTGTAGGTTACTTCCCTCACAGGTTCAACCACCTCACAGGGCTCCTGCCATTGGGCCAGAAGCTTGCTTTCTGCCGTGGGTATCAACACCATAACCCGATCCCCTGGTTGGAACTGTCGCACTTTTGCCTGGCGATTGTAATGGGTTCGCTGGGCCTCCTGTGCCTTCTCCAAATGTTCCCGTACAATAGAGGTAACCCGGGCTATCCAGTCTCGCATCTGCATTACATGCTCTATTATATTTCTCCCCTCATTGGGTTCCTCTTCCCAGATCTCTTTGGCGATATCTAGTATGCCACGGGGGTGACGCCCGTATAATAACTCAAAGGGGGAAAACCCAGTTGAGGCCTGTGGTACCTCCCGGATAGCGAACATAAGGTAGGGTAGTAGGGTGTCCCAATCCTTCCCATCCCGACTTATCACCTTCCTTATCATAGCCTTGAGGGTTCGGTTAAACCTTTCTACCAACCCATCAGTCTGCGGATGGTAGACCGAAGTTCTCAGGGTCTGTATATGGAGCAGCGTACAGAGGTCCTTCATTAGCTTCGACATAAATGGGGTTCCTTGGTCGGTTACTATCTCCTTCGGTAGCCCCATTCAGGCAAAGATCCCCACCAGCTCTTTGGCTATAGTTTTAGAGGCCGTGTGCCGAAGGGGGACGGCTTCTGGGTAGCGAGTAGCATAGTCCAAAACAACAAGTATATATTGGTGGCCCCGAGCCATCTTCTCCAGGGGTCCCACTAGGTCCATGGCTATTCGCTCGAAGGGGACCTCTATGATGGGAAGGGGTACTAAAGGTGCCCTCAAGTGGGGACGGGGACTGTGCAGCTGACACTCCGGGCAGGAGGCACAGTACCTCCACACTTCTTCATCTACTCCGGGCCAGAAGAACCGTCGTAGGACTCGTGCCAGGGTCTTCTCTACTCCCAAATGCCCCCCCAAAAGATGACTATGAGCAAGACTTAATACAGCGTTCTGGTGTTTTTGAGGTACTAGGATCTGCTGTACCTTCTGCCCCTGTACTGGTGCAACCCGGTATAAGAGATCCTTCTTCATTATGAAGTAGGGTCCTGGTCCCTGGGTTTTTCCTTCCACGGGGACCCCATCTATTTCAGTCACCTCCTTCCTAATGTTGTCATACCTTGGGTCTTCTGCCTGGTCCCGTCCAAAATTTCCTCTCCCGGGGCTAATCTGCCCAAGATCTAGGGGCCCAGTCTCTGTTGCCTCTACTGGTTCAGAAGCATTAGGGTGGGGGTCAGACTCAGTTGCTTCTCCCTCCTGCGTGGCCTCCTTTTCAGCTGCGCGGGTCCGCCTACCTACAAGAGTGACCCTCTGGCTTTGGGTCAGTATTCGGGTTCCCAAGGCCTTAGCTGCCCTTCTTTCCCTTTTCATCTTTCTACCCTGTCTGGGAGTGGAGAACAAATCTGGGGATATTTCAGAGAAGATTGGGGGTTGACAGTCTGCTGTGGATGCCTCACCAATTTTAGGGTCCCCATCTTTCTCCAATCCCCCTACTGGGAGTAAGTTTCCAAACCCTGGGAAGTCCCTCTCTATGAGCACCGGGTATGGGAGTTTAGGGACTACACCTGCTGCTACCTCAGTAGTGTTCCCTTGGATCTCGATTTTTACTGGGATGGTGGGGTTGTAACTAACTGTCCCATGGACACATGTTATCCCTGTACGTTTAGCCTGCAGCAGCTGACTACGCTTCACGAGCTTCCCTGAGATAAGCGTGATAGCACTCCCCGAATCAACCAGTGCCGTGGTCCCTACCGCATTTAGTTTCACTGGTCTGGTATACATATGTGGGGTTAGTGAGACCCCCACAAGGTGGATTAGGGAGCATGGATCTGCCCAGTTCCCCAGGTTACACTGCATAGGCTCCTCAGAATTGGGACACTGTGCAGCTATGTGTCCCCACTCCCCGCAGGCATAACATCTGTATGGAGCCCTAGGCGTTCCCCGGTCTCTTGGTTTGGGCAGTCTAACATCACGATCCTCTTCTCCCTCAGTGCTCCGACTCTTTGTGGCCTCTGATGGGCCTCTGTCACACTACATATAATAAAGACCTGGCCCTTCAAGGCTATATGGGCCCAGGCCAGCTTAAATTAAAAATGGAGTATTTCAGAAGGGCATTACTTTTCATTATGCAGTCCCACGGTTCCTCAGAGTCTGCTGATGCCTTGTAGTGATTGCTTGCCTTGGGTAGGGCAAACAGCCCACCTATGTCAACCCACATCCACTTCAATTCTCCACAAGTTCTACCTGTTCCTGCCCAAATAACTAATCCCCTTTAATAGTTGTAGCTGCAGAAGACAGGGCCTCACGAAAAAGCAAAGGATATTCAGTGAACCTTGAACAAGTGAAGCTCAATGGTTTTGAGCTTGATTTAATACTCCATTCCAACATCCAACAAGGGGAAAAAATTGATTATAATGCAACATATATGTCCCTGCAACTACACCCTTTGTATTTTGGCAGTAATTTAGCCAAAGGAAGGGCTTTACATCTCATCCATCACTTTTAGTTGGAAGGGAATTGCCTAAATCCAAGTTTTTGCAGGGTGTGGTTGATACAGTGAGATGGTTGAATACACATGACCAAAGGCCACATGCCTCACAAATCAAAACAACCACAGATGTGCTGGGTCTCAAGAATTTTATTACACTCAAGAGTTTTCTGTTGTCTGAAGATAACCACAATCCCCTTTTCTTCACACACACAAAAAAAGAAAAAGAAAAATATTCAAATCTATAGTAACAAAGCAAGAAGAAGAAATTAATAACTAATGGGGCTAAAGTCTCTTGTTTTAAGGCTTCCCCAAAGCAATCTCCAAAAACAAAACCAGGAGAGTCAGTCCACAAATATTTAGAACCTATTATATAGTAAAATACATTGGCAGGCAAGGCCTCAATTTCAACAAAGAAAAAAAAACCTAATGGTGCAGAATGCCTTTATACATTTAAAAATATGATATAATATAGCAGGCAAGTTAGAAAAAACATTGTTCATACGCCGTGAGTTTTCTGCAGACCGCCCTTTGTTCTACAGCTCGGTTTTGTCTGTTTGGGCAGGACTGGTGCTACTGCTGCCTTCTCCAGCATTGTTCTTATCTACAGGCTCGAACGATAACGAAGCAGAGTTTATGCAATATCTTTTGCCAGTTGGACGAGGCCCATCATCAAAGATATGCCCCAGGTGAGCACCACACTGAAATAAAACAACAGAGTATCATTGTATTTCTATACAACTACATGGCACGGCAATGCTATTAATACTAATGTCTTAAGGTTACTCTATAGTGGGACAATGTTTACAATAGGAAACTAGATTGAACAATATCTTAGATACCTTTCATTAGCCTAACCCCTAGTCGATGTCTTTGTGGGCTGTACTGTGCATACGAGGGAACACAGAATAGCAGAACTGTACATATCCGAAATCATTCAGAAAATCATATTTCAGATATGTTCAGATTTTTTGGCTAAATAATTGAAGCCAGGAATAATTTATAAATTGGATTGATGCTTACTTGCAAGGAATTTGTTACTTGCAAGGAATGTGAAAGTATATGTGCTGTCACCACAGAGAGAAGTATTGTTTTGGATGAGTGGATTTCAGATATGTATGATTGCATGGTAAAAGCCATGTTGCTGACTATAACAGAGGTAACATTCACTTTCCTTGACATAGAGAACATAACATTTGAAGAAGCTGATCCATTGAGCCATTACTGAAGAACTAGGACTGCTGTAGAGGCGCATGATGGGAGGAGAATTAGGTTAACAAACATCTTGAAACCAACAGCATGCTGTAATTAGCCACTCCGATTCTTTCTTATTTCTCCAGCATGTCATGAGGAATAAAAAATAAAACCCTGAACTGTAGAAACATTCACTTTGAATAGGGAGTCATGCTGCTTTGCTAGGGCCCAGTGCATCTCCCATTAAAGTAAATGGTTGATTCCAACATGAGTTGCAATCAGTGGAGTTACAGCGGTGTCACAGTTCAGAATCTATCCCTTAGTGGGCTAGCAGTCTGACAGACAGTCACCCAGCCAGACAGCCAGATAACAGAAATTAAGGCAAAGAATTATTCTTTACGCTTAATTCATTTCTAGCACAGTATCCAAAGCACACACCAGAAATATTGAGTATTCCTGACTGTGAATAATTATTCATGTTGGCTAAGTTCCTAGCAGCTCAGCATAATGGGGATAATTTTTTTCTCTCTTTGATCCATTTTATTGCAGTGTCCTCCTCATGTTATAGTCCTCGATTCACCAAAGCATGCACTTGGGTGTCGGTAGGAGCAGGCAGAGATCACTGCTGCAGGTTATACTCTCTTCATGCTTTCAAGGGGTATTTCACAATCGTGAGGGCTAGAAAAAGCTCTCCCTCCCCCCAAAAAAATGAAAACTGAAATTCTTACTAGAGCTGGGCAGGAAACTGCTTTCCCATCCACCCCTTAAATATTTTCCAGATTTTGAAAAAAAAAAAAAAATTAGCACCTCAAATTGGGACAAAAAGTCCAAATCTCAAACATATTCACAAACATGTTTGACAAAAAAATGTTTTATTGAAAAATTCCCCACCTGCTCGAATTCTGATCAACACAAGACTATTGGAGCAGGGGTCCTATGCATGTGCATAACCCAGTGCTGGATAAAGACAGTCCTTACCATGAAGAGTTTAAAGTTTAAGACTCCAATCCTGCAATCAGATCTGTGTGGGCGGATCGCTGAGAGTGGCAGGCTCCAGCTGTGGTATTGGGGATGGCACCATTAAGGGCTAAACTTCCCAGACAGTTTTGGAAGGGCTCTATGAAACTCTTGTTGTTATGTACAGCCAGTTGGAATCAGCCACAGAAAAATGCAGAGCTCTTGCAAGCACGCATTGAGCAATCACTGAAAACCACACCAGGTTCATGAGGGCAGCCCATGATAAAGCCTTTCTGCCCTGGGAAGGCAACGGAAATGGCAGTGGTAGCTCAGTGGAAACACACCATTAGCCAATGAGACTGCTTCCACCCTGTGGCATCATCAGGAAGTGCTCTCAGTAGCTGCTATTATGCAAATGAGTGTTGGGAAGGCGCAGGAATGACTTTTGGGTAGGTGGTTAAGGAAGTGGTTAACAGCATTGGTAAGGCTGGGGACAAAACAACTACCTACAATGTTTTTTTTCAGGAGGGGGAAAAACAAAGGAGGTAATGAGGGTTAAATGAAAAAATAAAAGCATAATATAAACAAAGATGATGCTTTAAAATAATACAACTAACAAGTCTGATGTCATTCATGACTGATCACTTGCTTGTATCCCTCTTTCCTAGCCCTGATCCCTTTTGTCCTTTGAGTTTGTAAGTTTTTTGAAGCTGGGATTGTCCTCATTTTATTGTTTATTACAGCATGTGGTTTAGCATAATGAGGATCTTGTTCTGATTGGGGCCATTGGACATTACCATAATACAAAGAATAAATCATCATAATTTAGTTTCCCAAAGTATTTGTACAAATCCAAAATATGGCAATTAATCTTCTTGACTGAGAAAGTTTTCAAACCTCATGGCTCAATAGCAAAGTCTTTTCCAGATTAACATTTACCAAAAGATTATTTATAAATCACTCATTCTCCAATGTAAAGGAACAGAGGAAGAGAAATTACACAGAGGAGCAGATTTCAGGAAACACTGGCACACAAATTTACGGACTACCAAGTCAACCGATCACAACAGAACTCCTTGGCAAGGAATTCTAAAGCCTCAACACGGTTAGAGGTGGTTTCATTATATTTTTCTGTGGTAGCAGAGTCACACCAGGATTGGATTACTGAGAAATCTGTTATATTTTGTGACATTGTCTCTCCCTAAAATTTACATATAGATTCCATGTACACATGTGCTAATACTCATGTGCAATGAAAATAACTCAAATTCAATTGTTTGCACCAGAAAGGAATTGTTCTGGTTGTCATTTGAGAGTATGAAAGATGTGCTGTCCCTACACAACATACAACGTTTCACCCATCACGGGTGTGGACTATTTTTCTTTGGTGACTGTTGAAGTTGGTAAAGCCTCCCCATGAAAATCATCCTATGCTGGTTCATATATTGGGCAGAACGTGGCAAGATGATGGAATGCCAAGTGTAACTCGTGTCTTTGGCAGATTGGGAGCATAGCTGACCACAGCCAAGTGTCAGCATGGTTGGGTCTCTCTGGGCTCCTGGTTCTCATTGGTTGCCATGATCTGAAGAAAGCACTGTGCAATCGGCTGCTAATGATTTATTCAGAGCATATCAATGTGCAACCAATCTTTTTGAGATTAAAGAATTGTATTGGTTTTTACAGGTACAACATAATAGCTAGAGAGACCCTAGGGGGAAGGACCCCCTGCACAGGAAAGGAAAAGGAAGGAGACAGAATGTGCAACCAATTTAATATTATTTCCTAAATGGGCCGGCAATTAACGTTTACCTGTCACAAGTATCTGACATTATACGTATTTCCAGGATGAAGTGTTTCTAACAGAACTGTAAAAATTGTTTCTCGGATAATCCCAGGGATGCTTTTGTTTTATATTAAGGTGACCCCCCCCCCCGCAGCGTTTGATCTCTAAATTGAAGAACATTTTAAAGAGAGGCTTTTACACAGGAGCAAACAGATGGAGGGACATTTACAGAAAAAGCAACTTACTTTTTCATCTGCAAGAGATTAATACAGTTTGGAGCATGGGGGGTGGGGGGTGTTTACCAAGAACTGCACTGCAGTAAAATTGTGGTCTTTTTTGCTGCTGGAAACATGATTCACATTCTTAGGATCCAGGGGAGGGGAGGAAATGGCTGCGTTATGGGTACACTATATGGGGGTGTTAGTTATCCCTTAGAGTGGCTGCAAGTTGTTCCCCACCCCCAGGCTATCATACTGTGTGATCTGTCCCACCTGCTGGGCCAAGAACACAGGTTCCACTGGTGGGAAGCCACTGATGGGAAGCTGCTGTTGGACTTTGCTGTGGGGTTTAGCCTCATATTTTCCTACACTATTTAGTAAATTCGGGTTTTGGTGTGTTTTAAATTGGTGTGTGCATTGCTAATGCCATTCTGTGAAGTCTGCTAGTTCTAGTTTCTCCGAAGCCAGGTAAACAACGTTCTCAGATTCCTCCACCCCGACCATACGCTGTTTTCGGCTCCATTCAGATGAATCCAAAAACTTTGGGTTCTCTGGAAGGGAGTTGTCATACTCCAACCCATATGTTGGCCACAGGCTTCATTTGACAGTGCTCACGTCCTGCCAGCTGGCACTGAGTAGGCTGCATTTTCAAGTAATCACTGAATAAAGGAGAGATTCCCAAATTCTGGTCCCACAGGGACCTGGCTAGTGGCTCACAGAGAGCTGCCTGCTCAGATGACGCTGGCTTTCCTTCTCATTTTCTGCTAAGAGAAACAGAACAGATGGAACGATGATACAAAGCAAGATTTTTGTAGATCCAGAAGAGGGCAATTAGATCTCTAGGAGGGACACAGGTGAGTTATGCATCACGTGAAAGTATTTTATTTGATCCTGCTTTCAATTTGCAGCCCTGTGTTTGTATTATGAGAGAAGTAGACATTGCTCTCTTTGCTTTTCATTATTTGATATATCTCCACTATGTCACCTCTTATTTGTTTTTTCTCTATACTAATACAAGTAAGCTCTGATAAGATGAAGATCTCAGAGGAATGCTTCAAAAAGAACAGTTACTATTTTGATATGAACATTAGATACATGGCCAGATATGAATTTCAGATAACAAAGATATTCAGATATTAGGGGCTGGTAAACACAACCCTAATAATTTTTAGTGTCTCCTCATCTGGAAATTTTTCCATGCCTTTAATTTAATTTCATTGCTTTTCCTTGGATTTTTTCTATTTGCACTACATCCTTTTCGAGACAGCATGACCCAACATGAACAGTGTTCTATGTGAGGCCATATCTGTGATTTATAGAATGGCATTATAATGTTTGCAGTATTATTCTTTATACCTGAATACTCTCTAACATTTCGGTTGCTTTTCTAACCACCAAAATCCATTGATCAAATCTTTTCACTGAGCTGTCCACAATAAAGTCCATGTCTTTTTCCTGAGTGGTTTCAGTTAATTTAGAACCCATGAATGTGTATGAGTAGGGACTTGTCTATATGGCGCCAGCAAAGCTCCCTAGAGAGTTGTGATTTGTACAGTGTTCTAACATGCTATGCACTAACTGCCCCTGTAGACCCAGCTGGGACACTCTTTCAGGTACCTGGTTCGCGTTGATGTAGTCCTGTTTCAGACTTTTAGAACAAGGTATACACAGGGCAGTTGGAGAGCATGTTATTGCGCTTTACAAATTGCACCCCTCTGGCATGCTTTGCTCTGCCGTGTAGACAAGCCTTGTTAAAATCGTTCCTTCCAAAGCACAAGTTAATATTCAACTGAAAAAATGTGAGGTATCTGCCATTGTATTATGGAACTGTTAAATCATTGTTAAATAGCACCAGTTACCAGCTGGACAGGGTTCTAAGCACAGATTGTGGCACAAAGTATTCTCAATACTTCTAGTACTTCAAAGAGCAGCACTGTCCTAAACTCTGCCAGGGAAGAACTAGTTCTTGTTCCCTCCACACATTGCCCAGCATGCATGGAAGGGGAGATTACTTACCTGTAACTGGAGGTTCTTCAAGATGTGTGGTCCCTATCTATATTCCACTGAGGGTTATGAGCATGCGCCCTGCGCCCAGAGCTGGAACTTTTCAAAGTAGAAATGTTCGGCGTGCCATGCATGCACCCTTGCACTGCCTTATGGTTTTTCCCGAGGCAATGAGAGATGGGGCAGACTGACCACGTCTTCAGTTCCTTTTCTACCACGAATAGACCAGAACTGCAGCAGAGGGGAAGGAGGGTGGGATTGGAACACAGCCAGGGACCACACATCTTGAAGAACCTCCAGTTACAGGTAAGTAACCTCCCCTTCTTCTTCGAGTGATAGTCCCTATTGTATTCAACTGAAGGTGAGTAACAAGCGGTACCTAGCTAGGTGCGAGGAAGATGCTGGAACTGTGGAACGGAGGACCACTGCGACAAACAAGGTGTCCCTTGCAGAACCATGCACTAGAGCATAATGAGAAGAAAAGGCGTGTACCAAACTCCATGTGGCTGCCTTACATATGTCCACAAGTGGCACGTTGTGGAGTGCGGCGGAATTTGATGCTTGCGCTCTCTTGGAATGGGCCCGTATCCCACTTGGTGGGGACCATCTCGATAATTGATAGCAGAGCATAATGCACCCTCAGACCCACTTCGAGATTCCCTGGGTGGAAATGGCCTGCCCTTTCTCTCTGCTAAGACAACAAATAATCTGGGAGACTTCCAGAATGGCTTCATTCTTTGTAGATAAATGCCAGGGCCCTACGTACATTGAGGGAGTGAAGCTGGCATTTCTCAGTTGAGATGGTGGTGTGCAGTTTGGGAAAGAAAGTGGGCAAATGTAGGGTTGGAAGAGGTGGAAGCGAGAAACCACTTTTGGTTGAAATTTGGGATGCAGGTGCAGTGAAACTTTGTCCTTATGGAATGCGGTGAAAAGGAGGTTTGCCTTCATGGCCCCCAGTTTGCCAACCCTCCTTGCAGAGGTAATAGTAACCAGGAAAGCGAGCTTCATGGAAAGAAGAGAAAGGGAGCAGAAGGCCAGAGGTTCGAAGGGAGAGTTCATTAATGACATAAGCACTAGATTGAGGTCCCATTGGGGAGTGTTAGGCTGAATGGGCAGGTATTTATTTACAAGGCTCTTCCAGAATTGAGTAGTCAAAGGAGGGGTAAAAACTGAATACTCCTCAATGGGAGGGTGGAAAGCGCTAATAGCCACTGCGTGCACCCAGATGGAGTTGAGAGCAAGACCCGAGGCCTTCAGATAGAGGAAATAGTCTAAGAGCTTCGGGATGTCCACAGCTTTGGGGGAAAACCCTTGCTCTTGGGCCCAGGAAGCGAAATGCACCCATTTGGCTTGGTAGGATCATCTTGTGGAGTCCTTACTGCTACTGGAAAGGACATCCTCTACTGCCAACAAACACTCCCATGCTAGTGGAGGTGTCCATCCAAAAACCAAGCTCTCAGGTGAAGCATCTGTGGATCGGGGTGCCTGAGTCTGCCATTGTGTTGTATGAACAGTTCCAGAAACATCAGGAGCAGGAGTGGAGATGCTTCGACATGCAGAGAAAAAGAGGAAACCAGAACTAGCAAGGCCAGAATGGAGCAATCAGGATGACAATCACCATCTCCCATTGGAGTCTGTGAAGGATGCACAGCAAGAGTGATAGGGGAGGGAAGGAGTGGTTGATCTGGTCCAACCAGTCGATGACCAGGGCAGTGCCCATTCACAGGGCAATGAGTGCTCCCCTTGAGCAGTATTGAATGCACTTGATGTTAGCATGAGATGCAAAGAGGTCCCTGATCAGAATTCCCCAGTGACCAAAAATGTCCACAATTACCATGTCATGCAACTCCCATTTATGGTCAGCTGCAAAGTTCCTGCTGAGAGCATCGGCAACCACATTCTGGGTTCCTGGCAGCCAGGCTGCCGACAAATGGATACGATGTGCAATGCAACATTTCTGGAGGTATACTGCTTGCGCACACAGCACTGGGGACTTTGTGCCTCCTTGCTTGTGTACGGTGTTGTCCGACATGACAAGAAGGGATAGCTGGTAAAAACGCGTGGCATGCCTTGCATACTGCCTGAAGTTCCAGGATAGCGATATGAATCCTGACTTCCTGAGAGGTCCAAGTGCCTTGTGTCACATGATCTCCCACGTGGGCACCCCAGCCATTGAGCTATGATTATTATGATTATGATTGTCTCGCACGGCGAGGACAGAAGAAAGGGCATTCTGGAGCAAACTTGGAACAGTTCATGAGGCCAAGGAGCAATTCTGAGTCTCCCCAGAGTCAATGGCCGGCAGTCTATGGATGGAACTGGGGCTCATAAGGGGAGCTGTCTCATGACCCACGAATCACGAGATGTCAGCGGGGCCAATGCAGGAGGAGCATGTGGTGCTGGAACCGGGACCGGCAGATTCGATGAGCGATCCAACTTCTTGTCGCTCTTGTGGGTCTTGGAAGGCGGCGTTCCTCTGTGGCCGGAACTCGTGGATGGTGTGACATCTTTCTTGGATCGAAAGGAAGACTTACTGCCATGCTTATGTGCATGCTTCCGAGACTCATGGCTAGGCCCCAGCATGGGGTCTATAGCACTAGTACTGGCAGAGCCGGACTGAGGCTCCGAGGTAGGAGGCACACTCTTGGATTGTGGGGGGGAAGGAGGGTTACCCAGCCAGGATCTGACTGAGGCCCCCTGGCAATGTCCATGAGCTGCTTCTTAAGACAGAGGGCTTGGCCTTCCCATGTACGGGCAGGGAAGTTAGAGGCAGATACTTCACCTGGATGCGGCACAGGCTTCCCCCAAGCAGTACAGACAGCACTGGTGCTCGTCGCTGAGCGAAAACGAGCAAGGGCAGGAAGCGCAAATTTTGAATCCTGGCATATTTGGCACAATCCAGTACCCCACATGGGTTTTAAAATACAAATTGTCAACATCACATTTCAAAATATGCAAACCAAATATCCTTAAATCAAACTAAGTTCTCATGCACACTTTTTCCCCCCACTTTGGCTATCTGTAAATTTCAATTATTGATGGAAATATTTTTTCATCGCTGTGTGTGTATAGAAGGAAATCAACTTTTACCAACATTTACTGATAAAAATAAAATCCTTCCAAGTCTATTTATATTTATCATTTAGTTCCACAAAGCAATTCAGTAAAGTGATGATTATAAGCTCATAAGGTTCCTCAGTCTATTATTATGAAATAAAAACAACACAGCCTGAGTGCCTTTAATACTGAGCATATCTTTTTATGCAGTAAATTTTCCTGCAAGGTGTTAAAATTCTTTTGCAATCAGAGGTCATAGTAGAGCTTCTGAGATTCCTAAAACACGTACAGCACAGCTACCAAAAATGTGTTAAATGGTTTTCTTGCAGCATGTTACCTAGATAAGAATAATACAATTTCTCCAATTATATTAGTAGATATTTCCCTTCAGACTGATTCAGGCACTGGCATGTTGGGCCCCATCCTGCACACACTAAAGTTAACTGAAATTTTGCCATTGACTTCAGTGGGAGCAGAAATGGCCCCAGAAGAATACAACACCATTTCAGAGAGCCTCTTTCTTAACATGCGCTAAGCATTCCTGTATGAGCACAGAATAATCAGGATATATTTCAGCAATGCTGAAATCGGTTATCCCAGCCTTGGTCCTGTCTGGAAACAGAAAGGCAGATTTATACAGCATGAATGAAGCTGCTGCAGTCTCACCAGAAGGAATTTGAGGATTTAGAACTGGATGGTTGAGAGTTGCTGGGTGTTTTTGTAACATGTCAAGTCAGCAGTTCCCCTCCCTTCTAGATAATGATTATGCCATTCACTTCACAGAAAGCTGGGCATCATAATGGATGAAAGCAAGTAGAACAAGACAGATAATGGAAAGTTGGGAGCATCTGGCATTATTATGGAGTTCATTATTATGGCAGATGGGATTACTTGATTTGGTCATTAAGACTGACCTGGGAATGGGGCTTGGATTTCAGTTAGTGCTGCTCTTCAGTAATGCGCAGTGATGGTATCAGCACACAAATAGTCGCTACAACGCTTCCAATCTCTATCAAAACCATTCGCACATGGAAGTAGAAAAGTGGGGCTCAGGGATGAGCATTGAAGGGATTCCTTTCAACAAGACAATTTCTGTATACTTGGCACCACTGATTCAAGCCATTTATGTATGCTCTGTTAAACAGTGCTTAAGAACACTCTCATTAGCACTTTGTACTTTCACTCGGACCATTTGTCTGTCACTTGCAATCCACCATGCGATATTAAGATTATTAGTATTTAATGAACTAAAAGCTTTGTAAATCACAGTGAGAGGGTAAGGTGCTGTAACAATATTTGCAGCCTTTACAATCAGAATGGTCTCTGTGTGCTGTACACTGACCTGACTGCAGCCTGTTTCAATCCTGTGCATCCCATAAGAGAAGTCATCTGTGAACATAATTGCATCAGGACTGATCACATCATAGAATGAAGGCCAACCTGGAAAAGAGGAACAAGAGAAATCAAGAGCTGCAGTATCTTTGTGTCAGATCGTGTTACCAACAAATTATAGACTATGGGGAACGCTGTCAAAAGCACCTACGTGACTTAGGAGCCTAAGTCCCATTTTCAAAAACGCCTGTTATCTCGCATGTACAATTATAATAAATTATTCACATTTAGGCCCTCTCAGAGAACAAGCTGCCAGCAGCTGCCTTTCTTCTGCATCTGCAGAGCTCCCTGGCATGCACCGCCACTGACAGCAACTGCGGCAGTCTAGCCCAGGTAAAGAGATGGGTGCTCTGGTAACCCAGACACAGATTCCAACCATGTAAGGCTTTAAAGATCAGTAAAAAAATACTTTGAGTTCCACCCACCTACCAAAGGCAACCACACTAGCTCATGGGATGCACGTGTTACGTGCTCCCAGTGGAAAGCCCCACTTACTAAAGGGCTCCGGAATTCTGGAATAGCTCAGCTTCCGCATGGTCTCAGGTGCAGCCCCAAGTAGAGAGCATTAAGGGGGTGTAATCTCAGGGTGACAAAGGCATGGATAAGCATAAGGCCTGCATCCAAAACAAAAGACCTCACTTCACTTTGCCACGCACCGATGGAAACACGCGCTCTTCAACACAGCTGCTATCCGAGCCTTCCATAGCAGCCTCAGGTACAATATATTGTGACCCCTATTTACAATCCATGGCTGCACATCACCATCTGAAGAATAACTATTCGCTCCCTAGTCTCCCCCTATCCACCAACACAGGGACTGGAGAACCCAAGCCCCTGCAACTACAGCGTCCCAGCAGATTCCCCTCACACAGCCTGATTAGTTCACCTAAAAAGCAATCGAAGGGCTGTATTGCCTATAGCTTGGCTTCCACATGAGAATCTACTTGAAAGATTTTAAAGGTCACTTAAAAATCCATCCCATACCCACCTCATCACCACCAGATACCTGCCCCTCTCATGCAATCCCCTAAGGTCACTCACCCATACACACACACACACTCTCTCTCTGTATATATGCTCACACATACCAGAGTTCCTTGTTCTTTCTCCTAATATCTGTTAAACATTTGTTACTAATGGTTTCATAAAATGCCTTGCAGTAAGTCATTAAAGAATGTAGGCTGCAACTACAAATCACTTTGCACAGATGAATACAGGATGTACAGAATTTCCCACAAGATTTTTAGTAAAGGGAGGTGTGGAAGCTATCAAATGGTCTCAATATGTGCAGAGAAAGCATGTCAATGTGGAACAATAGTGCACAGCTTTAGTTACACCTTACACAGTTCAATGTGGAGGGAAACTTTTGAGGAAGAAACCATGTAAGAGTGAAATTAAAGGGGAAAAACAGCCCCTCCCCAAGATGGTTCATTTCTCACCCTTTGGGGAAAACATGGATAAATACAGTATCATCTTAATTAAAGCCCCAATCCTGCAATGAGTTCCAAGTAGGAGCCCACCAGGACCCCCAATGAAGTCCATGGGGCCTACCCACACAAAGCTCATTGTGGGATCAGTGTCTAAAAGTGTTATCCAAGTGTGAACGACAGGAAAAAATGGACAGCAGTAAAGCTGAAGATCAAATACGCTGAACAAGGCAAACATCCTGCAAGAGAGAAACCCACCTCTGAATCCCTTTAGTAATGTCAATCTTTAAAAAGAATTGTTACAAAGTAACAAACGTCTTTATAAATTACTCCATACTGTAAACCATCCCTGCCAAACAATGCACATAGCTTCACACAAAAAAACAAACAAAGAAGCAGCCTATTACAAAGTTCTGCAGAACGGGAACCCTTCAAAAATTCTTATCTTCCAGTTGGTGGATCCTCTCCAGCAATGCAAATTATCTCCTGAGTTGGAACTCCACCTAATGATGAGTGAGGTCTTAAGCAGACCTGGCTGAATAATTTTCAACAGAACTTTTTCTGTCAAAAATGAAATGTTTTGCGAAGCAGAATTCTTGTTTTCTGGCCAGCCCTAAGTCTTAATGAAGAGAAGCCCCAAAGAAGAGAGCATTTTCCTCATAATGTGAAAGTATTTGAAGGAGGAACTCTTCACTGCTGTAGAAATCCTCAAAGGGAACCCTCCCTCCCCCTACACACAACAATAAGGAGAAAGCTTCAAAGGCTGCTATGCAGAGATTGAAGCAATCTGTGTCTTGCTGAGAAAATTATCTTGTGCAAAGGGGTTGGGGGGATATGTTTATGTCAGTTTTGACATTAAAGGAAGATCATCCATCCTCCTCTCTCCAGACTTTTCCTTTTGGTCTTCCCATCTAGCACAAAAAATTATTTGTTTTGGATGCATTCCATGCACTTTTTAAAAGTGAAGTCAGCTGAAAACCTGTACAAACAGAGTTGAGCTCCCTTAAAGCAGCCTTTGTACCCAACTGGAGTGACTAGAATTTAGTTTATTAATTTCCAGTGCACACACTGTTTTTTCAGAATGTCCCTTGTTCTATAGATTCTGCCAGTGAGGCATCTGCTCCCCCAAAGTAGTGACTACAACACAGTTAGAAAATCCAAGCGATGGCTCCTAAGATTTTCAACCACTTAATGCTAAATTGTTGCATTTCCACCTCAATGACATCTCCTCCATCTGGTCGCCTCTTTGTGTCTCTTACAGTATTACTGTGATGAACTAATAACATTAAGAGGGTTGACAGTACAGCTATGTGAAACCTGCAGGGTACAGTTCATGAAGGGCACCATCATGTGGTTGGCCTGGAGATGGAACCAAACTAACTGCTGCATGTTTGGTGGAAAGTTTGAATTTATTGGGCAAACTTACAAGGTGACCCAGTACCCTTCACCCTCACCTCTCTCACTCCCTCTCGTGGGAAATGTAGCAAATAGGAATAGAAGGGTATCCTTTGGATAGTTTGTGAGCCTTCTAGTAGCGCTCATTGTGTACTATGTTTCAAAAGCAGCCAGAAACCAGTCAGAGCTGCAGAATGTATCTAGCTAGACCTGGCATGTTTGTGTATATTTAATAAACACACTTATCTGGCACCCAGTCGTACCCATGTGGCTTCTTCATATTGTCTGTATTGTGTAACTAGAAAAAGACACAATAGGGGCTTCTTGTTTCTCCTTCTTTCCCAGGAACCTCCAGAAGATCTCTTCTTGCTTTAGGGTACATCTACACTACAACTTAAGGTGTAACTGTAGCTCAAGTAGGTTACGTGTGCTAGTTTTAATCTAGGAGTCAAGATGTGTCAGCATGGGCTTCATTGCAGGCTAGCTGCCACAGTAAATGTCTGTCTGGGATGCTGTTTACTGGATATGTACTCTGGTTGCAAGCCCATGCTGAAGCCTCTGCCGCCATGTCTTCATTACCATTGTTACCCACACTAGCTAGAATAAAGCTAGGATGGGTACACCTACTCTTCCTTTGCTGCGTGGATATACTCTTAGATTTGTCTTCACCACGGGGGTAAGTCGACCTAAGTTACGCTACTCCAGCTATGTGAATAACGTAGCTGAAGTCAATGTAGCTTAGGTCGACTTAGGTGTTTTCACTGCACTGCGTTGATGGGAGACGCTCTCCAATCGACTTCCCTTACTCGTCTCAGAGAGCTGGAGTACTGGGGTCAACCACAGAGTGTTCTGCTGTCAATTTAGCGGATCTTCACTAGACCCACTAAATTGACCCCTGCTGCATCGATTGCAGCAGTGTGGATATCCTCGTAGTGAAGATCAGCCCTTAGATGTTGTAATCTCCCACCACTTCTCCCTCCTCCAGCGACCTAAGCCCTGCCACCTCCTCCTCCCTCCCAAGGTCCATAAGTGGTGCAGAGTGGCTGCAGTAGCATGGTTTTCAGGTGGCTGCAAGCTACTGACTCATGCTTCATTCAGTTTTTCAAACGGCATTTTGGGGTTGGATGCTTCCAAAAGGGAAATAGGAATGGGGGAGAAAAAGCCCTCCCACTTCTGCTCTCATCTGGTTCTACTGAGTTGGGGCTGAGAGGAACTGTAATCCTTTGCATTGTAAAGACTGTCCCCGGGAAGAGACACCTCATTAATGTTCATGTGTGGTTTCTTTAGAAGGGTAGCACACTAATGATTATTGGACGTTTATCAGCTTGAGCTCAACAGATCTAGCTGGCAGCAATAGCAGGAGTGTTTTCCCTTGAAGAACAGTAAGCTTGGTGGGTAGAACAGGACAGCAGCTGTGGGGAGGGGAAGAAGGGTAATTGCAGGAGACAAGCTGGGGACAGGGAGTTTTGGATTTCCCAGCTAAGTGAACAACTTCAACTAAAGTTTGCAAATTTTTGTGAATAGGAGCCAAGGTTTGTGAATACATTGATCCCTGAACTCAAGATTCAGTTTTGAGAGGGACTGATGCAAATGTTACACACAGCCTTGTTTGTTAGCAATTCATATTGGATTATAGACATTTAAAATGGGCCTAATTCTTATCTTCACTCAGGCCATTTTACACCATTCTGACAGTGGAAAGGTGCTTTAAAACAGGAATATATTATATATATGCACCCACTTAAAGGCCCTGAGGCCTTAGAGTAAATGAGAATCAGGCCCATTTATCCTTGGTTCTGTGGGTTTCTGACATATTACATGCCAGATTTAATTATTTAGATATAGTGAACATCCTTTCTGAGCCAAAAATGCAAACATACAAAACAATGGAACGTTATTCTATCCATTACCTCACTAAAAACTGTGTATAAACGGTACATTAGAGACAGGTCATTTCCACTTGGCCCTGAACAACAAAGACTCTTAAACCAGTAGATTTAACATATTTAATCAGTCATTTGCTACACTTCTCTCCACCTCCTCCATCTGAGATTTCTCCCAAATATTTTGTAAAAGCTGCATGGCTTTTGCCCTAAAATTGGGATAATTTGTTTTTACTGATGACCCTTAATTTGCTGAAGAGAAGATGAAGGCTCATACTCCTTCATCAGAGAATGCTTTCTCCAGAACAGAGAACACCTGATGACTGCCCTGGGCAGCCAGGTT